CCCCAAAACCCCAAAACCCCAAAACCCCTTAAAAGAAATTTATCCTTTAATTTGAGAAATTAAGTTAGGTAAAATTATTAATAGATTAATTGAGATAAATAAACATAATTCACTAGATATATGTAAGGTTAAATTTAGGTTTATATAAGTGTAGTTCATGTATAAAAATAGTGATGTGCACATTTCATTATTTCTTTTTATGCTCACGCCTTTGTTAACTTGTATGCTTCCCACTTTACTTCCCACCACCAACATTCCCTCCATTGTTGTTAATAGTTATGTTGTTGCTGACATTAGTGAAATTATTAGTTTGAGGATTAATTATAAACTCGTTGTGTACATTGACAATGCTTATTTTAACTTTCCCATTATTGCTATTTTACCCACTCTAGTTGTTTATGGAAGCTGGAATTATACCTTGCACATTAATGAATTGATTCACTTGCTGTTATCTTTAAGGTATCCCTTAGCTGCTATGTAATTGACCTTTCTTGTTTCTGCCCACACTTAGACCCTGAGATTTCATCGGAGAAGAATTAATTCCAAGAAACGATCTTGTTGCTGTTCCAAAGAATTACTGCTGCTAGTTACCTTATAATGATCCCTGATAAAATGACTATGATAGATGGGAGTTTTATACAGCTTTCCAAGAATTTTCTATCATTTTTTTAATAGACTACCCCTGCATTCCCCCCTGATTTTAAATCGATTGCATCCCATAAAAATCACTCTTGGCTTTACCCTTGTTCTTAATGTTTTAAGGTAGGGTTTGTGGTTCTAAATTACCATTTGGTGGGTTTTAGAAAAAATTACCTTTCATACTTTGCTTTGGAATGTTTTGCTAATGCTATTGCTACATTATCTACTGCTATGGATTCGAATATTAGCCTGATCCGCTAATCTAAAAGTTAGACTATTGATTTGATACGAATATATTATTGTCCAGTTTGATTGTGTCATAATCACTAAGGACTTTAGATTCACTTTCACTCATAATTCTTCTGGAATGAGCCTCATTGTGTGACTAAAGTAGTTTTTATTATATGTAAGTATTCTCCATTACCCTGAGGTTTGAAATGGGATTAGAGTCTTATTGCTGAAACTCTGGACTTGATTCCTAATTTAAAAATTCATTTGTGTGTTGCAGACCCTTAAAATGTGAGGATTAAGGCTTAGGAGGTAAACTTCTCGGCAGATTGTTTGGATTACTCATATTGGGTTAAATTTTAGAGTAGTTTTACCCATCCACATAACTACCATTGTTTAGGTTAATTTGATCATTGTTGCTCTTTACATTAAAGCTAATGTTATTTGCTATTCTTTAGGTGCTATGATTGCTCGACAGCTCACTGTGATTTTCAGGAACTCTCATATTGTTATTTTACTTATAATAAGTGAATGGTGTTCCCTAATTTTTGCCTTGATTATCCATTGATTTTTTTAAACTATTCTGCACATAATTAGGTACAATTCCTGTTTAATTTAGTTTCCTTTTGTTTACTATTTAGTTTGGAGTTGATATTTAAGGAAGTACCGTTTGAACTTGCCCTTGATTATTTATATTCTACTTTTAATGAGAAGTACTAGGATGATTCCCGACATGGGCATTTATAGTATTTAACTTGTTAGATTGATAATCAAATTTTTCAATCTGCTTGATATCCTGAGTAGTATTGAGTGCCTGATACGGATACTAAGTTAAATGATACTACTGATTGAATTGAGGTTCGAGACTTTACCTTCCAATCTCTCCATTAGAATTTATAACTTATAGTTATTAAGTATCTTGTAATTTGTAATCTAAAAATACGATTTAAATTTGCTGCAAATATTTTACCATTGTGCATATTTTGCTGTGAAGGAGTGGGCTTTTGCTGTCTATTCTTTGAGTTACTTTGAGAAGTCTGTATATTGCGACTGTAGTTTCCAGGCTTTCCTTAATTCTAATTGGTTTATGTATGAGTGTAGTCATTCTGCTTTCTTAAGTACGAATCTAAATGAAAATTCTATTTATAAGTCTTCTTACTTGAGATTGAATAGGAAGGATTGACTTTAATTAGGGGATCGTTTTGAAATTTAGTGCCTGTGTTTAGTACTGCTGATTGTATCTTGTTCGACAAAGATTGACTTGCAGTTGGAAGTGGATTAGTAGTGTTATGGCTTGTGCCACTGTTATGAGACTTTCCTTATCTGATCAAATGTGTAAGAGGCATGTTAACACTGCTAGAAGTGCTTGAAGTTATCTCCTAGGTCTTATTCATATATTGATTTTACTAGTACTGCTAGGCAAGTGCCTGCTCATAAAAGATCTGCTCCTCTTTTGTAACTATAATTTGTAAGAAAGATAGTTTAATGGATACATTTTTGAGATTTAGCCAGTTAAATAGCCTATTTCTGCTTCTGTCTATACTTTATTAGCATGTAATCGCTTCTTTCCGTTTATGTCCATGCGTCTCTTGATTCTACGTTTCTCTTTCTCTTCTTTTTATGAGTGACTGTATCATCTCCTTAATCAGATGATTCCTTTCCTACTTTATCTTTAGTTTCATCATCATCCTATTTATTTTCCTCAATAGTCCCTCTGCGTGAATTAGTGAGCTAATTTTTAGAGTTGCTATTCATGATTTACTTGGGATCCTAAGTCTTAAGAATACTCATACGTTTATTAGTATTTTTAGGAACTGGCTTTTTCATATTTTAGTTGGTGTTAGTATTGTTTCCTCCATCCATCGTATTTTTTCTTCTTACAGGAGAAATTGAAGTGGCGATTTCTTATGATAACATTGTCTCTTTTCTTGATCGCCTATTGCCTTTCTTGAGCGAGGAATCTTCTTCCAAAACAGGAACTAGATTCTGTATTTCTTCTGGTTCCATATTATCTTCTGATGGAGCTTAGTCTGATCCAGCTGAGCTTGTAGTTTCTCCTTCGTTAATCAAGTCTTGGGTTTATCTTAGGACACTCATCAATGCTTTCTTGATATGCTTTATCTAGATATCTGGTGATTTTTCTCTGTACATTTGAATTTTTTCTACAAATATCCTCATTAGTTCTACTTCTTGATCTTTATTATATTAGTCCTTAGTATCATTCTGTTCTTTATAATGACAGTGTAGCTAAAGTATTTCAGTCAAAATAGTCATTGAAATTGCTGTGGGAGATTATATATTCTAATAGATAAGCAAAGTTCTACAGAAGTCTCTTCCAGTTTGCATAAGATTATCAGTAGAAAAATGATAATTTGCAAATGGCCCTTGATCATTGCCACAAAATGAACTCTCCATAGTGTATATAGCTGGGATCTTTATGTCATTGAACATGGCTACTCTAGCTGTAGCCTCTTTGGACTTTTGGTTTCCAAATCTGGAAAGACCAAAAACAAAGAATGGGCAAATCTTAGAGAGGAGGAATGGGAAAAATCTTGTTTCCTCTGGAGCAGTAGGCACGTGACATCCATACATAAAGATATTCTTCCTCCTACTGTGGCCATGGAAATCACAGAAAATTGTAAGCTCTCTTTCTTTAGCAAAGTTTTACATCAGCTGCTTAGTATAGTATATACAAGGATGTAATACTTTTGATGGGGCTTTCCATCTTCTGTTTAAATCACATCCAGCCAAAGAACAGCGATAATTACCATTGATTACTCCATCTGGATTCAGCATAGGAATTATTTTAAAAACAAAGTTTTGCCTCAATAATTCAGCTTCCTCAGAATTTTCATCTGTTAAGAAATCAATAGCACCTTTCATCATCCATGATCCTACTGACTCACCAGGGTGGACTCTTGCAGTTAAAAAGACTCCTTTACGTTTGGGTAAATTATCAAGATTCTATCTGCTTGTGATAGTTAACATTTCTATCTTATTTTCGGCTACACTACTACATAATGTTTTCCTTGCACAAAATTAACTTTTAATAGGATCATTGCTAATCCTATTCAGGTCATCTTAGAGATCAGAGAATGTATAAGGATAGCAGTAAGCAAAATATACAATGTCATCATCATATTGAAATTCATAGGTAAAAGTCAATGTATAATGTGATTTAGATCGTTTTTAACTTTCTTTTTTAATCCCATTCATGTAATAAGATATTTTGGTGCCGCCACGGTGCCATCCAATATCTTTTTCCTAGGACAATTTTTCTGAGTATATTAGCACTTTCATACCTTCATTATACAATGAATCTGGTTTAGATAGGTTTAGCATGTTGAATCTAGTTTGATTATACTACTTTGTATTTGTTACTCGAAAAAAGAACCACTAGGTGTGACCAGATGTATTTACATCATTTTACAACAATAGGTGATAATCATAATCGTTTACTTTTACAGCGGATGCCAAGTTCCCACTTTCGAATCTACTCTCGAATATTAATGTCTTATCAAATTGATCTTTTTTCTTGTAAAACTAATCAACACCATGTAGTTATATCAGACCTGCTCTTTTCTGGCCTTACTCTTTGGTCAGCATATTTTCTGTATTTTTAGATAGTGTTGAATTCTTAAGAATTCTTCTGACATCAATCAAATTCTCCTCCAGTACTTCATCCTTTTTACTGCCTGGCTGATTCACCTTGGTAGAAAAATCTAGAGCTGATCTGATAAAAACCAACTCTCCAAATGGAGTTATTCTATCATCAGTTTCATTTGTGGGCAAAAAAATTGACTTCAATGTAGTATTCTCAGGGAATTCAATATGATTCACATTAAGGTCTACTTCAAATTTACTCTTTCCAAAGTCTTTACCACGGAATTTAGTTAGTTTCCTAAAATATACTATGAATAGAAGACATATACTTACAGAAAAGCGAATTCACCACCAGATCGGGGAGAACCTTCTTACATTTAGAAGTTTTTTGGTAGAATAGGATTAGGAGGGTAATATTTATTAACTTTTTGATAAGCATCCTTATGAAGGGATAACTCGTCTACTAATCTTTAGTGTCTAAGTTCGAATTCTGTTTAATTATATACTCCATTCTCTTGGATATCCATTGCTTGATTATGATGATTTTTAACTGTATTTAAATGTTTTTAAGTCTTTATCTCTTGACTCTAATCCTTAGTTTATTTGCCTTCATGAATCTCATCGGATACATTATGTTCTTCGAATTCATCTTCACCAGGTGAATTAAAAAGCAAGTTATTGTGGCTTGTAGGTGTAGGATCTGTTTTATTGCCAAATTAAAAAATGATTTGAGTAGCGTTTTATTCCTCATCCTCAGTAAGGTTTTTAAGTGTTTCATCATTCATGACATCTTAATACATTTTAATTCTATAATACAGTAGTGATTAAAATTTATTTCACCTACTCATTTTAATCTTTATAATTGCATATGGGGTTTTGGGGTTTTGGGGTTTTGGGG